TTTTTTCTTTTTCTTTTATTTTCTCATTTTTCAAGAAAACCAGCAAACTATAATTGGGTTATAAGTTGCAGACCACAAACAAAGCAAACAGTAGGCCTTGATGAAGGACATCCTAATGCCCCCAAAGAGCAGCACAGGCACAAATATGGAATCCTCAATGAGATAACGCAGAAGTGAGCTCAAAATTTGGTCCCACATTTAACCTCATGTTTTACTTTAGAAATTCAGAAAGTGAGGTCTATATAATGCTTTCTAATTTCCACCATGTGTGATTGCCTATGTGGTGTTGGTTTCTCCTGTCTTTCTCCAGCTGCTGAACTGTTTTAAAAAGATAGCTAAAAATACATGAGTACTTTCCTACGCCTTTTTCCATGTAAGCCATTGCTGGAATCATCACTGGGATGTTATGTGGCAGACACAGGAGCAGGTGATGCCTGTCAGTAGGAATAGCAGCCTGCATGACAATGTCCATATGAGAAGGTTTTCCGTACTGCGCGTTACCTCTCGCTCCGTTGTTGTAGCATGTTTTCTCTTGGCAGCTTCGCAAGGTGCTTTCTTGTTTGCTTTGGAGATGTGTTAAACCAAAGGCAGCAATTGTGTCAGTAGCCAGAGAATACCAAGACTTTCTGAAAACATTGCTTCTAGTTTAGGATGCCTCTAGCACTCCTGTAATAAATTCAGCAGTAGAGAAGAGAGAACAACATATTCTGCATAAGGTAGGACTTTTTCTAGTACTTTGGTTTTTCTTCTTCCTTTAGGGAAAAAATAATCACCGACAAATATCAAGGGGCTTCATAATTTTCCCCGCTTTACCTTCTATCCAACCTGAGCAGGACCAAGTTGTGTTTCAGAGATCAGTAAGAGAATCTCATTGAAAAAAAAGGACTGAACCTCTAAAGCACCCAATGTTGGGGTGGGCAGTGCCTTGGCCATCATTTCACTGAACACACTCAAAAGGCCTGTGCATCGTTTTGAGTGGGCAGAGCTGCTCCTGGTTGTCTTCCTTATCTAGGGGCAGGTCATTGGACCAAACACCACAGAACCAGGTAGGGATGTCCAGGGATGAGGGAGGCCATGAGATGCAGCACTTTGCACACTCCAGCTCATGGCCATTTCCCCAGAGCCCACTAACAGTAAGGTAGACCAATCTCATTGATCTCTGACAGTTTTTGCAGGACAGTGTTTTTCAATTTGTTTCTTGTTTTTAAATGAGGCCTCCATAGTGCTATTTCCTTCTGCCCATGCCACTGTCCCTGCAACAACTAATCTTTTGGGCTGCCAGAGTGTCTAAAATGGTGATCAGATATTTAACATGCAATTCAGGTTCAGGAGACAAGGCCTTCTCTTTTCCACACCAGAGACACTAAGCCAGAAAATCCTACAAATGTATGCTTTTAGCAAATGCCATGGGATGCCACCACGCCCTGCTACTCAGCAGCATCTGAACCCCTAACTGAATGGAAAGGCTGGAGGGCACTGGTGCAGGAGGCAGCAGGCAGGTCTGGGAGAGAGTGCCAGCTCCTGTCCCTTTGCCTTGGCACCTCTGCTCTCCTCTGCTCACGACACAGGAGTATTCACTGCAGAGGTTTCTCTGGGACAGGCTGGCTAGCAGGATAGGGTTGCTCTCCATTAGCATATTAGGCTGTTACCACTCTGATGCTGCCTGTGATAAATGTCCCCAAAGAACCTATAAATAAGTAACTAAGCAGCCTGTCTTATGCATCTTAATTATTTGTAGGCTAAGAAGACAGGAAACTTTTGAAAGTGTCCTTGCTTCCTCTACAGGTCCAAGCAGTCTGTCTTCCAGACACTGAAAACCATGCAGCAGCATAAACCAGTTTCCATAAGCAGCAGCACATTGAGGCACATCACAGTCATTAAAAAGAGTGGAAACCAGTATCTCCAGGTGAAGAGAGGGGTGAGGGAGATAAAGCACATTATGCCATTTTGCAGGATCAGGGAGGAGCCCAAGTATCTGCCTTGTCATATGGCATAGCTCACAGTGCTGGGTAATTAATTCTGCTGGCATGGGGTTCTCCCCTGTGCATGGGGACTACCTGTCTGGATACTCCCAATGGGATTAGAATTGACTGTTTGTAGTTGATATAGAGGTGACTATATTTCATTGATAGATGGCATAGTTTAAGAGTAACAGGATGCAATTTGGGAAAAGACAGTAAGGAAAAATTAGGGATGATGACTTAGCCTTTTGAGAATGGCGGTCATGCTCCCAAACATGAGAAGCCTCTTACTTAGGTGTCCTTCCTTGAGGGGAAACCATGGTGTTTCCCAAACACTAGGTTAAAGCAGACTCATCACTACCTCCATTTTTTTGTGATGGTCTCAGAATTCAGTGTCATTGTACCACTGCCCTTGCACAGAATGCATTTCAGATTTACATGGTCACAATGGTCATTTGCAGGTGACGTCATCTTGGAAGAACTGCAGATGCCCTAAATAGGTGCCATAGCTGTTTGTTCATTTTCTGCTGCTGGCTGGTGAATATGGATCAAACACTCAACCCATGTCTTGGTACTTAAAGCAATGCAGTATTCCCATAAATGCTACATTTCAGATGGCATCCTATAATAACACTCTAACATGGAAAAGGAAATCCCTGAATAGAGCTCACTCATAGTATATTTTAACAAAGTTGTTTGAATTTCATAGCTCATATGAATATTCCTAGCAGAGAAGGCCTCCTTCCCTTCACAATCAATAGTAGTTTGGCTATGCTGAAAGCAAGACCAGTCTGTATTTTACTGTGGCCATTTATAGCAACCAAAGCAGTCCAGAAGGGCGAGGTAAGCAGGGCATCTGGTTCCACTGTTGTTCTGAGAGATCAGAGATGACCCTGAAGCACATTGGTTGATGGCCCACATGTTTTTCTGAATACACCAGACAGGTGTATTCAGGAAGGAGAGGGATGGTAAGCTTGCAGTTAAAATACCAGCAGACTTGCAGGAGAGGGAATGAACCTGGATATTTTTAGCCAATTGTACTCTGAATTCTGGTTCTTTCTTTATTCTGGAAATTCCCATAGTTGGGACGAATGGGCTTCTTGGTGTAACATAGAATCTTTGCCTCTTTGGCTGTGGTCAATTTAGTAGGGGAAAGGGTGGATGATACTACCTGTGCTATGCTGAAATGTGGTCATTCCCTATCAAAACCTACAAGATATTGTTTGTCACATTAGACAGGGGCCAGTTGTCAGGCTTTTTTCTTTTATTGGCCTTTAAAAATACCTACAAAGTCATTATAAATAGACCTTCTTCCATTCAAGATGGCAAATGCATCCCTCTGCTGAGGGACGTAATTTTCAATATGTGCACTTGAAATGCAGCCAAGTGGAATCCAAATCTCACAACCCAACTGGACAAGGACCAACCCTTCACTTTGCAAACAGCTTCCATAATATTGCAGTAGGGCGCCGGGTCCAGTTTCTTTCAGAGACCATGGTGTGCCAGCTGCTGGGGCACAGCTGGGCCTTCCCCAATTTTCTGAGCTTGACACTCCCTAAAGGATGATCCTCTTTGCAGCCTTTCTTCATTTCCTACATGTGGATTTAATGTAAAGAATTTTTTTATTCCACTTCAGGTCATAAAAATTAATCCCCTGTGGGTATGCAGGCTGTATTCTGTGCATGAAGTTATTTCACTGCACAGTGAAGTAACCTTCCAGCTTTTCATGGTGTCAGAAAGATGACACCTCTCCATTTTTTCCCTCCTAGACCCATCTATTGTTATTGATTTCAAGCTCCAGCTTTTGTGCTGAGTTCAGTATTTTATTTAGTAACTGATCCACACCAATTAAAGCATTGCCTAAATCCCCAGCTGTCCAAAGGCCTGATTCTT